CAGCAGGCTTCTCCACCGCCGCCGCCTCTCGGGTAACAGGCGCGGACCCCCGGTTTGTTTACGTCCGGGGAGCGCCCCGGGGGCCATCCGCAGCCGCCCCGCTCTTTTGTGTGCCTGCGCGAGTGGCGCAGAGCTGCCGGTCCGCGCCCTGGGGATCCCGCCGGGGCGCTTCGGGGAAACTTGACAAGGGGTGGCGGGGGCGTCCCGCGCGCGGTGTGGTGGATCGCGACGTCCGGGACCCGGAGGAGGCTGCAACTTTCCCCGAGCGGCTGCCTGTGCGGGGGGCGCGCTTCCTCTCTGCGGCGGGTCAGACAGCGCGGCCCTTGGTGCGCGCGCGGGGACTCCCGCGGCCCCCGGGAGATCCGCGGTGCGCTCCATTCCAGCCCCTTCCTCGGGGTGACCGGGAAGGGGGGGTCTTGTCCGCTGCAGGGTCAGCAGGCCCTATGGAGCGCGCGGCGGCTCCGCTCCGAGATTCCTTCTCGGTCCGGGTTCTGGAAAGCAAAGCCGCGGGGCCCCCAATAGACTGTGGCGTGCGGGCAAGTGGTTCCGGCGCCGAGCCCCAGGAACGCTATCTGACGCCCGAGCTGTCGCGGTGCTCAGGGGGTGCGCTCCTGCCTGGCAGCCCCCACCCGGAGGAGAGGCGCGTCCTTAGGGTCCGCCCCGCCAGTGCCTGCTCCGCGCTCGCGGTGGCTGGACAACCCCGGGACTCAGCCAGGTGGATGTTGTGTGTAGCTGGAGCCAAGTTGAAGGTGAGCGGCTCGTGGGCCAGAAGCACTGTGAACACTGGGGACCCGGGAGGGAGTTAGTCGTGTGGCTTTAAAAAGACCCGGGGCGGCTTGGTGCTCCCTGAGGTCCCGCAGCGTCCCTAGGGAACCACTGCTGCTCCAGCCTGTAAGGTGTGCACCGAGGTGAACTTGGCTGAACTTTGTTAACGCGGGGGACTGATGATAGTCACCTACAGCACCTGTGGTAGTAAAGCAGACAACTGACTACACATGCAGGCTTGTAAGAAGTGAAGTGGATTGGATTAAAACGTATGTAAGTGGAGTCTGGCAACTTTAATTGTATGCCCTTGTTTTCCGCCCTTGCCTACGTAAAAAAAAAAAAAAAACGATAGAGCAGACTCATAGTCGTTATGAAATTTCCTCAGATTTCTCGCTTAACTAGGAAGAAGAGTATGTAAAGTATGTATTTCCGATAAGATTAGAACTTAAAGGAGTTTGAGTATTTATTGACTAAAATAGATTACTCCAAAGTGTCTATTGTGTAAATTAGATTCCTGAATGTAATGAACACAGCCGAATGGCATTTTTGATAAATTGGTCTACCCTGTTTTAGTAAAAATAGCTCCCTTTTACCATAATTTAATTCCTGTGCTTACTGTAAAACCCGTTCTGGAGTTTTAAGAGACAAACCTTAATATTCCCCCCACCTCTTGTCTTCCTAAATGTGACGTCCTAGCTTAATATCAGTGAAGTTTTTTTTTTTTTTTTTTTTTTTTTTTTTTTTTAAGCATCCAGGGAGAACTGCCTGGGAAATGGATTTGGTTTCTAGAGAGTTATTAGATTTTATGGACTCCATATAAACACACCTCCCCTTCCCCATTGATTAGCTACTTCTTTGGGGAATCATGGGGACATTTAACTGTGTGGCTGTAGGATTTGATTAAGCTTCCCTGGCAGTTTACTGAATGAATTCTATGTTGATCTGGAAAACGCAGCAGCATGATACAAAATCCTTTCTCTGAGCAGCATTCTTTTTACCCAACATCCGTTGCCTTTTGGTGGGTAGATAATGATTTGGCCTTAGATGATTTCCTGTGGCTGTTCAGCTGCATGTTTAAAGATGTCATTTGGACACGGAATGTCAAAGTTCATGTATAAGGCCAGACTGGTCCTTTCTCTGGGTCTTAGGGAGGTCTTTGAGTTGGTGTCTGGGAGCGTTCACTCAGTTCCTATACACAGTAGGTGAGCCACTGAAACTGCAGTTTGAGCAAGAGTTCTTTAGTTTCAGACTCTTCTCTCTCCAGACTTACACTGAGACGGGGGTGCCTGCAAGTCCAGTGTCTGCTGTGGCCATTGCCACCTGAAGGCAGAGAGGCTGGACTCAGCTGGTCTGACCAAGTTAGAGACTTAAGTGGGTCCAGAAAAGATCGGGCAGTTCTGTACCTCTTCAGTGCCTCGGTGAGTCATGGTCACGTTCTTGTCCCTCTGCTTCTTGAGTCTTGAAGCCACAAAGCCACTGTGGGGACTTGGAGTGAAAGCCCAGGAAGAGGGCGTCTGGAAACTGTGCTCGCCTTGGTTTCCTTTTTAGTCCCAAAGGTTTGTGCTATGGAAGTTTCGGTGCTTTGGCGTAGCTAAGACTAGTTGGACAAGTTTTTATCCTATCCCAGACTTGTAAAAACCAGACTTTTTTTAAAGTAAGAAAAACACCATTGTATAAATTTATCTTTTAACTACACGTTTGAAAAGAGGACACTTTCTTAAAACAAGCTCACGTAACTCTGTTACGTGATTGTGGAGTTCTGAATATTTTGGGATAGGGCCTGCTAGCCATAGCTTCTCTTTGCAGCGTTGTCCTTGCATGGGGACCCGTTTTCCCCTTTAAGGGTCCTCTGCCACAGTGAACTTTAAAAGTTGTCCTTTTTTTCAGTATCAGAAAACAATTTTAAGTTTTGCCCGGAGTCTGTTTTCTGTTTGCTTTTGTTTTTTCCTGTCATGGAAGTGTGTATGTCACCAGCTGTCTAAGACTGTTCCCTATAATAAATCTTTTATTTTAATTAAGGTATCTCATAGTGTCTTCAATAGAGTAATGAATAAACAAACAATACTGCCACTGCTCCTCTTTTTGTTGTATTAGTGTCTTAGAGATTGGGGGTATGAAGAGTTCATTATCAGTTGCTTGAAGTTTTCGCCTAGGTGAAATCACATGTATTTTTTTAAAGGTAAGTCATTGCAGGAATAAAATTAACCACAGCACCTCCTGAGACAGCTGAGTGCACAGGGGTCCTTTTGCATCCCCAATTTTGTGTATGTCAGTAATTAGCTAACTCAGGAAAGTTTGAAACAACCTGCTCTTCTCCAGGATTATTCTTCCCTAATCCTCCTAGCTAACCTTAAAGGTGCCGAATGGGGACCTCATTGAGCCCACGACATTTGATGGCTGTTCAAAATGTCTTCTCTGTTGCTGTCAAATAAAAAAATCTGCCAGGATTTGTGTGGGAACTGTGCAGATACAGTATTGTGTGCTCTGTGATACCACAGTCTGTCCTAGTAACAAGGCTGAAAGTAGAAAAATCCAGTTTTGTTTTAGTTCTGTAGTGAGATGAAAGAAGGACAAATTTGTTAGGGGAAAAATTGTAAATTTTTAAAGGAGAAATCCATTGTACAAAAAATCCTACAGAGCTAGGCTCAATTCCAACCCATGTTCCCCTTTTATATAGTTCACACGTTTGGTTCATGTAAATTTCACATGCAGTATTTGAAAGACCGGTATCTTCTGTGTTATAGCACAAATGGTATATATAGTTACTATAAAAGTTATTCTAGCATACAAGATCATAAATTGCTGTTTTTAAATATGTAACTTAAAAATATAATTGTTGTGCCCATGAAAAGTCTGATTTTTATTAGTAATCATTAAAGACAGAAATGTGTCTACCTAGTCCTTTTGTTTTGTCTGAAGCTCTGTGTTATTGCTGCAGAGATAGTTTTAGTTTCAACTGAAATTTCTCTGCCTCTGGTTGTTTAAACGAGACCCTTAATCTTATTTTAGCATATTTAAAGTGTTCAAAAAACCCGGAAGAATTGTTTCGTGTAAGTAGCAAGTGAACACGTAGTTTAAACACTCAAGCAATTCTGGTATCTAATTGGAAACAGGTGGAATTCCTGGAATCTTGTATTTGAATCTTACAATAGCCAAGCATGGGACACTTTTTACTTGTGGCTACTCATTGTGTGGACACTATTTGTAGAAGGGCTCCACAGCCTCTCATTATACCCCACAACTATTTACCTGGACGTTCCAGTAACACTGGACATTTTAGGGCCTGGATGCTTGTGGATGCCTGGACACTGAGAGAATTGTATATTTGCAGATTATAGAGTGAAAAGGGAATTCTACTGGCATTATTGAATGATTTATTACCTGTCTTGTATAACTTTTATAGCAAAGAAATTGTGAGTTTGTGACTTCTGATTTAGTAAACATTTATTGACCGGAGTGTGTAGATGCATTTTTATACCCTGACAGTGGTTTAGAATTCAAAGAGAAGATACTTTCCTTAAGAGTCCTATGTTTAGAGATGTAAACTTTAATTGCAGCTGAAAAATATTAACTTGGTTTGAGGCATTATTTCAATAAAATACTAATGATGGGCTCCTCTGAATTGTCTGTCATCTTTCCTGTTCTAGTTTTCAAAATGTGTTCCTAAAAGCCTCTTCATAGTCCTGGTTTTGCTCTGTTTGGGAAGCAGGTCTTGGTTTGTGTGTAGATGTATGTTTCTGGAAGACAACTAAGGTTTACTTATGAGTGCTGGTACTGCTGCAGTTTTGGGGTTGCTGAGCTGCAGTGGGTCCTGCTTTCTTCACCGAGATGCTGAGAAAACTGGTTGAAGAGAGCAGCCTCTGGCAGGGAAGGAGGTGTCCCTGCAGGAAGTAAACTGGAATTAAGGGAGAACATGAGCCATTGCCCTCATTTGTGCCATTCCTAAAGCAACTTCGAAGCACCTGTGTTATGACTTACAGATTTTTAAAAAGTGCTTATGCTATGACCTATGCACATAATATGACAATTAAAAAGAGGGTGAACAATTCCATTTGAAAGACATCTAATTTTCCCTCAAGAATTTTTCCTTTAAAAAGCAAACAGATCTCCGATAAAAATAATTCTCTTTCTTGCTGTAATTAAATTCCCATAGAATGATGTTAATGCACAAAATACAGGCTGTCAGTTTCTTCATGTTAGTCTGAAGGTTTTTCCTTACTGTAAGAGGCCCCAGGCTGTTGGTAGAATTTTTGTATTTAATAGAGCCCTAGGTCCCAGGAGTCCCAGGAATTTCTGTGGCCACAGGGTTGCCTGAGCCCCACAGGGGATCGGTAGGGTTCTCTACCCACAGGGGTCTTCCTATTTAGAGGAATCCAATCTGGCTGGAGATTGGGAGGAAGGGTAGGAATATTCCTGCCAGGAGTTTACTGACACTGAAGAGCAACCCAACCAATAGTTGGGAAGGAGATTCACCGTAAGTGAAACTGACTAGGTCCTGCTTCCTTCCATTAGAAGTGTTTGTGAAACTGAGTAAGGAATGCCGAGGCAACTGGCCACACCTTTGTAAGACTCTGGAGTCCGCCAGGTCTTCCATAAGGCAGCCTCCATCAGCTGAGACTTGAAATCCTTGGATGTGGCTTGACTGTTGGTGATTTATGCAATTCATGTAGGAGGAAATTACCAGAGTTTAAACTCTGAAACACCAGGGATATAGTTTGCTCTTCCTTAGCATTTCGTGAATATACCGACACAAGGCCTGTTCTCGTCCAGACAGCTCTATTTGATTGTACTTACTCTTTTTTAAGGTAATGCAGTTTACATTTATTTAAAAAGTTACCTATGGTTGTGAGGTGTCTGGAGTGTGATCAAGGGAAAAACAAATGGATAAATTAGCTGTTTCTTAAGCGAATATTACAAAATTGTGAGAAATAGAATGTCATTCTTACTGTTACTAAAAACTTATCTGGGCATTGACAGCTCTGTG